CTGCATGTGGGTGTGAGGTGCCTGTGTGCCCATGCACGGGGGAGCTCGGGCAGCTGCTTTGCCGTGAAAGGGTCAGAAATAAGGTAAAATGAAAACTAAAATCTTAGTGTTAGATGCCAGTCTACTGAGGTCACGGTTAAATTTACTTGCAGAGAAAGGAACTGGATGTCAGTGGTGCAGTGTGTTCGGCCTGTTAATTTAGGAGCTGGTTTATTGAGGAACAGGGAGGAAAATAAGTGCCGGTTAATAAATATATCTTCTGTGTCAATTAATATTTTTGTTCATATGTTATATAAATAGACTTGTACTTTGTGTTGTGTTTTGGTGAAGGGTTATATGTAGAAAAAAATGAAAGCTACATTTGGTCTTTCAAATAAAAACAGAGCTTAATGTCCGAATTCCTCTGTTGCTGTTGGCTCATGGCGAGGGTGAACCTGTGGCCCGCGAAACGAGCCCCTTGCTCTCTGCAGATGTTGTTCTGTGCCCACACAGAGCAGCCTAGGGATTGCAGCCTGGTTTTTATTTAATTTTTCCTTTTTTTTTTTTTTTTTTTTTTTTTGGTGGAGGCCAAGAATAAAACACTGCAAAGCAGACTGTGCAGGCACAGCTCATCTGATTTTTTTTTTTTGCTTGGATTTCTGAATTCGATAGATCCTTCTGGGTTTGCTTTCCTAAAGCTGGCAGCACAGGGACAGCAACTGATGTCACCGCGCATGGTTTTAAAACTGAGGCATTTTAGTCCCAATAAAATAGATCTCACCAACAGGCCTGTCGCCCCTGAGGAACTGCAGTAGGTCTGCAATGTTTGGGAGCTGCACTGCTCCTGCAATTGAGGAAAACAAATTGCCACTGTATTAGAAGCACGTTCGGACCTGGCCACTGCAAACATGTGGCAGCACAAACTTCAATGTGGTGCTGGAGCCAGAACTCTGCATCGAGGCTGTGCCAGTATGCCTGGTTCCCAGATCCCAGCTGAATCTGTACAACCGGTTAAATTTTGCTATGAGGAGAATGCAA